TAGACTAATAATATATAAATTCTAAAATATCTTAAAAGCATCAATAAATTATATATTCGAAATCTCTCTAATAATGTTGTGTTAGCTTTAAAATATTTTAGAATTAATTATCTTACCTTATTTTTATTTCGAAATTAAGCATGCCCCTTACTTATTTTATTCTGTAGTTTCCGTATAATCTTGATCATTAGATTTATCATTCGCAGCAATTAAATATTTTACCTCCTGTAAAATATTTAACAATTCTTCTTTTTTTTTCAATTTTAATCCAGAATATTTTTTTCAAAACTCTTTACCAAGATGCTCAAGAAGCATTTCAATCTTTAATAAAAGATCCTTCACATTCATGTTTTTCTCACTTCCCTGTGTTTTCACTTCTTGATTCATTATAGGTATTGATCTAAATGAAGATAATTTAGTTTTGTTAATAAACACATCTGTTATAAAATCTTGTCATGCTTGTTTTGCCAAAGATGTAAAGTTTATAAGATCTTTATTCAAATCATATTCTTCCAAATCTTGATTTATGAAGTCAAGGCTTCTCAAATGAGTTTGAAATCTTTGGCATTCTACTGTTAACTCTGGTCGGGTTCTTGGCCCAGATGCTTGATGATCGTTGTACCCAATTACTTGAAACAAATTGCTTCTCAACTAAAATTTAATATCAATTAATTACAATTATATAGATAATTAGTTAACTTAATTAAAATCTATATTACCTTAATAAACTTTTTGCAATTACGTGCAGCAATTTTCCAGTGATGATGTTGCGGAATGGGAGATATTAAGGTCTTCAAGGTCTTGTTTACTTCTTCAATGATCGTGTCTAGCCCTTGGTGTTGTTCAAAAATGCCTGACCTGGAAATGATGGTATTTTTTTCTATTATATCACGTATTGCTAGATGAAGCTGCATTAGTTGAATTTCATCTGCAGCTTCTATCATGCAATAGATAGAATGGCGTCTTGCCGACCAAATTGGAGAAAATATTTGCCTAGAAGCTTTTTTTAAAAGAGGATTGTTAGTTCTTATAGCCTTCTGGTAATTGATTATGGCTTAAAGATAAACAAACGTCTTTTGTGATTAAAAAGAGAAAGATTAATTAAAACGTTAAAAAAATAAAAAAATAAAAAAAAATAAAATAAAAAAAATAAAAAATAAAAAAAATAAAAAAATAAAAGAATAAAAAAATAAAAAATTAAAAAAGAAAAAAAAAATAAAAAGAAAAAAAGTAAAAAAAAATTATATATATAGAGTTTATAGTAATCTGTTCATATTTAACCTGATAAAGCAAATCTTGCTGTTCAACTCAAGAAAGATACCCTTTAACCGACAATTCAGAATAGCTCTTTACATATGGCCACACAAGCTCCATTGAAATTGCTAGACGATAGATATTGCAGATAGAATCCCAGGACTTATGATGATCTGCATATTTTTTAAAATATGCAAGTTGGTTTTCTGATCGGTAACCTTGACACTTCGCGAATCGTTTTATGTCAATTTCCCTAGAAGATAAAAAAATATGCATTATTTGAAATCTCCAAAAATTTCAAATTAAAATTTGATCGGGCAAGAATCATTGGAAACCATCACGATTTCTCGAGATAACATAATGTCGAATTAGACACAATTCTTTAAATTGTTGACCTGAACAGTTTAATATAAATGGTTTTACAAAAATACCTAACCAATTTAATTCCACAAAAGCTCGAAGCATATTCAACTCTTCGTGAAGTTGTCCCAGTATAAGAACTAGCCAAGGAAATTTCTCTTTAAGCTTGATGGCATGATGATATGGAACACTTTCACAAACTACAGCTACCCACTTACGAATTCTAGACTTTATACCTGATATTATTTTTATGTGCGAAAGAACTTTTTTGACATTCATAATAGAGTTTAGATTAATATTTATTGGATCAGGAATATAAATCTCAGGAACATTAACTCTCGGATCGGTCACTTGTTGGGTAAAGCTAATTTTTGGAACATTCATGACATTTGGTTCGTCGCCTGTGCTATACGGTTTAAAAATAAGTGGTTAGGTTATTTTATCAGTTATATTATCCTCAATTACTTTCTCTTGTTGTATTTCTGCTAGTGTTGGCAATTTCATTCCACATTCTGGGCATATTCTTTTTCGATTTTGAATATTTCATTGATTGTATGATAAACACATTTTCATATGTGTAATATTAGTTTCTATGGATGCAATAAGAGAATCAATAGCATTAGTAGAGGATAGTTTTTCTTCCAACAATAAATTAAGGATATCAGTAAGATAAGAATTTAATTCGTCATCGACAACTTTTTGCATTTGAGGGCTAACGTCGAAAAGTTCTTCATATGGCAAGCTATCAAGAAAACTAAAAGCCCAAGGAAAATTAGTATGCTGAATTTTGTTTAATGATGCCATGTTAAACCTGACAAAGCTAGTAACGATATGGTAAATCACTGTATTAAACCCCCGGTCAAGATAATTTTTCTGCCCCCTTTGCTCATTGTCAAATGCCAGAAATAAAAGGCCTTTGGGCAAAGGTTCTTCATGTTTCGACAATTCTTCTAACCACTTTTGGAACCAATATTCACTCCCCGAATTTGTGATATGATTGTCAATATTGAGAATCATTCTTGATCTTGCAAGTGAATATTTAATAGCCAAAAGAGCAAGTTGAACTTCTAATACATATTTACCATGACATGCTCCATATATTAAATCAACAGCAGTAGCAGCCTTAAAAAGCTTTTCTTGACTTAAAATATCATCTCGAGCATTTAGAACTAGGGTTTCTATGAATTTGACAACAACTTGATTGTGTCTATTAAGCCATTCATGTGGACTATACACCATAATATTTTCAATAGAAAACCTAGCATTATTATGAATTAAGGATTCTATATCATCGAACAATGATAAATGTTCTAAATGTGAATTGGGGTAAAATTAAAATTAAAACATTAAACAATATTTAGATTTAATTTAATAACATTAAAATACTACCGACCTGTCTTTGCTATTTCAATAACTGCATTAATCCGTTTGTGTTGATTAGAAAACCTTGACCTCCATTGTTCAAGAAGGTCTTCATTATGCTTATTTTGCTCATCATACAAACCTTGAATTTCAGCCATACTATTATAAGCCCTTCATAATTTACTTTTCAACTCCTCTATTTCATTCTTTTGTTCATTTATATATTGCCATATTCGTTCAGCTTGGTAATTGAGTTCTGTTATTTCTTGCAACTTCTGCTGATTCTCTAGCTTAAGATTATCTAAATATTGTTTAATCTCATCAAGTTTAACCATTGGACCAGCAATATTAACACTTAAATTATCCTCATTCATATCAAAAGAGGGTGTTTGATTTTCTTGAGCAGAACCTATAAGATACTCATAGAATTGATTATTAATAATGATTTGATTGTAATGTATTGAACAAATTGAATGAGTATCAAGATAGAGATTAGCAAGCCCGGGAAGGTAATTATAAAAAAGTTTAATTTTCTTAGCTGCTAGTAGGCCATTCGCATTTCGCCACTTTCCTTCCCCACAAAAACTTAACCCGACATCCTTGCAAGTTTCGACCAAATCTGCGAATATACATTTATGTTCTGATGCCTTTTCTTTCTGGTAACTAAACACTAAAAAAAAGATTAAATTATAGTTTTAGTTAGCAATCCGTTTGACAATGCGCAAAAAAACTTGTAATTTTAAGCTCTTATTTACTTTTTTTCGAATGACTTATAAGAAGGGATTAAGTGAGATTAAATAATGTAAATGTTTAATACTATCTATTCGTATATCGTTTAGTATTGAATAAATATAAGAAATATGCAAAGCCCCAAAAGTAAGTATTATATACAAAGAATGCTTAAGAGCCAATCAAATTCACGAAATCGTATATTGATCATTCTAGAATGCGATATCCTAATTTGGTAAATCGTCGAACTGTAATATTGGCATATCTTTTAACTGCTTAAGGAACTGTATAATCTTGTAATATGCAAATATTTACCAAAGCTTTTGCTGCAATAAAGCATGCACTTGGGAATATAACCTAATAGAAACCTCAATTATGGTTAAAACTTTCTAAACCCCAATTTGCTATAAAAGAACCTATATAATGGTCGGTTATTTGTTGATTTTGATCTTAGCCAATCAAATAGCACTATACTATATGAGAGTACAAGAAAATTGCATGCCCGGGGGCATGCCCATGAGCTCCGTGCCCCCCACCCTAGTGTGAGTGCGTGTACGCGAATCCTGGGTTTTGATTGGTTGATCAGGTCAAACCAATCCCCAGTCAGACCTCCCTAAATGCCTTGTTTGGTCCCAACTCATATGACATAAATTTTTGCCTCCCTAAATGCAATACCTCTCTAAATGCAATATTTTTTGGCCGCCCGAGGCTATGCATTTAGAGAGGTCTGACTGTACCTATATAAAATTATTTTATCTACTGTTATTGTGTAATTACTCTACCGAACTCAAACATGTTTGCAAACTTCGGTAACCGAACCAGACTGGAGAAAAAAGTTTGAAATCGAACCTGGACCGAACCTAATTTAAAAATAATTTGAGTTTTGAGTTTGATTTGAAAATCAAACCGAATTCAAACTTAATTAAAGTTTGGTCCGAGCCCGGTTTGTAGGAGCACTATATGATAGAGTATTGTAGTTAAATTTTAAACAAATAAATAAATAAATAAATATGAAATTTCAAATCTAACAAGTAGATTTTTATTTAATTTTTATTTAAAATTTTTAGTTACAAAACTAAATCTAGGATAATAAAATAAAGTAAAAGTCTAATTTGGAACTTGAATTGAATTATTAAACTATTAAACAAGATATTAATTTTTGGAAAATTATGCAACCGTTATAAAATTATGATTTAATTTTTAATCCTTGGTAATTTTAGGATACACCGTGAAGAAGTTAATATAAAAATTAATCTTCAGCAGATTAAATAAATGCCAGTAGATAAATTTCGTGCCTAAATCTTCAAGCTAGGTAAAATAAATTTCTTGATCAATAAAGTAATAATCATGGCAACGAAGACTGCGATGAATGCATCGATAATGATCACTGATCTGAATGGTGATTGCGCAACAATTGATTGTTGCACTATGGGATGGGCTTCGGGCCTAGATGATTCGTTAGACTTGGTATCAAGCTGATTCGTTGTGCTTTCAGAATCTGTGCTTTGTGACGGAATAAAGGAAGTTGACGACGAGGCAGAGTTGTTGCCTTCGATTATGATGAAATTAGTTAAAGCATTGAATGAACATCGTCATCGAATAAATTTAAAAAATATACCTTTTGAAGTATGATCATTGTTAACTTTGTCATTCACACGTCGTTCATCATCATATACAAAAGAAAATTGTGGCATGATTTCATTGTCTTTAGATGCTTTGCTATCTAAGCTGTCCCCGGAATTGGAAGATAAAGACTGGTTTGGGTTACTCTTATCGTCTGGCAGTTTATCGATATTGGATATGCCACATATAGAACATTTCCAATTATGCGATCTATGGGTAGAAATGAGATAATGAAGTAAGAAATATTAGATATTGGAATGAAAAAAAATCCATACATACTTTCGTGCCAGCAACCTCCTTTCGGCCTCGGTATAATCAATTCCACCAATCGCACCATTGGCTATTACGAAGTATAAAGTTATATAAATATTTGAAAAACCAAACCATTTAACCATTACTAACCTTTGGTCGTCATGAAACCGATCAAACCCAAGAGGACTGTGCGAACTTTATAATATTTTGATTAAAATAGATATTCTTTCATCAATAATCAACAACTAATTAAATTATAGCACATACTTCCCCACGCCGGTAACCAATATTCTGGGTGATATCCGGTGATACTTAAACAAATTTTTTTATTTAATTCAAATCGTCCGTTTGGCTGTACAATATAAGATAAATTAGCAAAAATAGATGCTTTGAACTACATAAAAGATCGTATAAGATCGTATACAAGATTCAGGTCTGTCAATTCGACTAATTTTAAACTCTAAAAGACCCGTAGATCTGTTGTATTTTTATACTTGGAGGTCTAATATTAGATGGTCGGTTGATATTATGCTGCCTATACGTGTCTCTTAATATTCCACCAATATTTTGACCTATATCATTTTGATCCGGGTCTAATTCATGATGGATCCATTATTGGTGGGATCATGCTTATACGATTTTTTACGGTACTATAAGGTAATAACATAAACTTACAGTCAAAAGCATTAAATTAGGCGGTTTAAAGGGGTATTCTGAGGGTAAAAGAATGCGCCCATGGTACCTATAAACGGAATTGTTCTTGGAAATTAACAATAATTTTTAGCAGAACGTATTATAGTAATAGAGAAAGATACCTTCCACCTTCAAATTCAGTACCATCGGGCCCACGGATCACAAAATGCCATTCAAAAAGATTATCCTACATGAATAAATTCAAAAATAGATGCAGTGAATCGTTTAATAATGAGCGAAAGTAGGAGCCAGCCTATACCTACCTCAAGAGGTTGGGCGGTATAGTCGCAGCAATTATCTTGCTGTAGTTCTCGAGCTTCTTGCAAGAGGCGTTTCACGGCTAAACATATTCGATCAGCAAAATAATGCAAAACAGTAAAGATGCAAAAAAAGTTAACGAACCTGGGCTTCTTAGATTGTACGTGGCCATTAGTGAATTCTGATACGTATTTGGCTTTTTTAAAGATTCTATATATGAATATTAAAATAACCAATTAAAAAATGCTGCGTTGGCAATGGACTGTGGTTTAACAGTCACACGATTTGTTTTTCGATCTACAGTCGAACCTCTCTATAGTCACACCTTCGGGATACAAAAAACCGTGATTATAAAGAGGTGTGACTAATATAGAGGTTACCTCTATATAGTCACAACTATATTGCAAATTGTAAAAAGTGACTATATAGAGGTTTTAAAATAAATTTTTAAAAATTCCTATTAGAATGTTTATTGTAAATATAAGTTAGAAAAGCATTACTAGTTACAAAAATACCAATTGTAATTTTATCTAACCAAATTAATATCATTAGCAATCCCGGGATCCAACATGATGCAATTAGATAAGAGGTTGTCCGATAAAATTTAAATTTTTAAAACTGTGCATAATTTTTTTCAGAAATAAAAAATCTCTATTTAGAGTCAAGCAAACTAAATAATTAGGACTGTACTGCCAATTTTTATATTTCATCGGACATAGAGGCTGCCCAACCCTAGGATCCAGCGCACAAAATTCTAACATATGGGAGGCCCTATAGCAAAAGGTGGTGATGGGCTAAAAAATTTTTTTCTGTAGTTTTTTGATATTGTATTCTAAATGATCTAATTTTTGCAAAAATAAAATTTTTACAAAAAATTTTTTTTTTGCCCGTCACCTTTTGCTATGGGGCCCCTCATATCCTAATTTTTCTAGCAATGTTCTATACAGCTATTTTTATAATTCATAAAACATCTAATAAAATTCACCAAAATGATTTTTGGCCAATCCAATTAAGTTAGTAATTTCAGTATATGTTTATTAGAAAAGTTTATTTTATATCCGGGTCTTTTTTATCAAAGTTTATTTATTGGTTGATAAGAACAGCTTTATCCATAAACCTTCTCACAAACTGAACACATCAAATATGTTGGGCAATTGGAAAATTTTTATCAGGTGTTTCGGGAATTATAAAATAGTTATAAACTGGAATTCTGCTATTTTGCGCATGACCAAGGTCTTCACGAACTTCATTTTAAATTTGAATAATATCGGGTACTATTTATGAATTTAAAAGTCTCATTGGAGAAGAGTACCTTATGTAGTAAGATACTATTTTCAGGAACTATATGCAATGGTCAATGGTAAATTAACAAGATAGTTTAATAAAAAACGATTCTTCAAAGACAATGCTCTAAAAATGGAATAATAACCAATCAGAAGGTTATCAATTTAGCTTGGCGAATCTCAAAAATAATTCTGGGATTTAATTTCACATTAAACAATATTCATCTAACATCTGATATACTTATTATTAATAAACTCAATAGTTCATCCCTTTCTTTTTCTATTAGTTTTGACTCTTGCCAGTAAAGTCCTCTAGTCAGAATAATTGCATTTAGTCTCGACAAAATCAAGTAGAAGCTTGATAATCAAGTACTTGATTAAGTTGAGCATCTAATAGTACAGTAGTGCAAATCAGATTTAAATACTTTAGTAAATCTAACAAATTGCTGGCAATTCTTGCATAACATGCGTTATGCAACAATTCGTTAGATTTAGTAAAAGATTTAAATCTGATTTACATTACCATTAGCTGCTTGACTTAATCAAGTACTTGAATTTTGAGTTTTTATTTGACTTTGTTAAGCACTAATCGCATTTCTCTCAAAATTCAAAACCTCTTCGAATGGCAATTTTTCTTAGTCTATTCTCCACATGACTGGTATCTGGTTCTAATCCAAAAACAGCCCTAGTAATTACATTTATTGATTAGCAAATGACTTAAATTTTGGTCAATACAACAATTATATAACATATTTTTTTAAAAATCCAGCAGTCTGTTTTAACTATTTATGGTACTAGGTTGGGTGGTTTCAAGACTGGAACTGTGGGACTAGTTTAAAAAAAGCATCCTTATTTGGCCTTCCAAAACTGATCCATTCCTATTTAATTTGAAATAATAAAAAAAAATATAAATTGAGCTTAAAAAGTTAACTCTTAAAATGTATCATGTAGATAATGCAATTATTATAATAAAATTTGCATAAAATTTCCTAGCAGCATACTAATTAGGAAAAGTGACAGTAATAGCAGGCATCTATATTATTTAACCATGGATCTTGACTGATTTTTCAGATATGGTTCTGAATCACAAAAGCCTGTCTTGTTCGTGAACAAAGTTAAGTTAGTAGTGATGTGCAACAGGATAATAAAAAATTAATCAATTCAGGTAGTCTTTATACATATGTACGTACTTATTGAACAATAGGATATTGGGGAAATAATATATATGTACATACATATAAAGTTGATCGAATATAAAAAAGTCTTAATAATTCAATCTTTTGATCTAAACGTGAAATACCAATACTCTATTCTGAAGGTACAAGTATGTTATTGTAAGCCATCAATCTTTTTTGTTGTTTTAATAATAATCAATCCCAGAAAATCTACTAATATAATTAGATATCTTGGTATCTACTATAATAGTAGAGGCTCTGCTAAACCAACAATAGATATGATTTACAATAAAATAGAAAACTTCTTATTACTTATTAGATTTAAAAAACTTCTCTCATCCCAAATCTCA